GTAACTATAAGTTTCTAGTAGTATTCTACCTTCTCCGCTGACCCTTCGACTATTGCTAGTAGCCTCTACTTGTAGTATTCGACTCTCCGACCCACACCAAATTCAATTGCCAGTCTCGTTAGGATCTCCAGGCCAGGAATCTTAGCAGATCAATTGAATTTCCACCCCCAACAAACCAACAACCACTTCGAGAAACTTACTGATCCGTCGGTAAATCTCGAACTCTTCTCACTTGACACCAGATTCAATTCTTGTGAGAAACTCCTGAACAAAGCCGCTTCCGGAGGACCTCACGTATAACAAATTATACGCTTGACAGCGACGATGATGCATCGTCTTCAGAGGATGAATAGGTGGCATCCTGTGAATCCTGATCCGAGTCAGGGTTCCCTGTTTGGAAATGAGACGGATGGGGATGTGTATTGGATGACGTCAGATTGGGGAAAGGAAGGTGGGCATTGCGCGCCGGATTAACGAACTGCGTCATCGGTGGCGGTGCTGGCCCAGAGTCGGGTGAAGGCATTTGTAAATCTGGAAGTCTGCTTGTCGAGGCTTCTGGATATACGTGGCCCTGAGGGGGATTGTTCAAATGCATGATGGTGGCGTAGGTCGAGTAGTGAATTTAAGGAGAGGGTGATTCGAAGTTGACAAAATTAGGGAAATTATATGAATATAATCCCCGACCTGCGGTGGTCACCAATGATGTCAAGTGTATTATTGGTTAATACTGGAGGTCCACTGGGATTGACTTTGTCCGAGTGTTTCTCCAAAGGTTCAAATTTCCCTAAGTTGTCAAAATGTCTCTAGAATGCCTCGAAATGCGAAAGCGTATCAAGGGACGAATCTGACAAGGGCGGAGGTCGGCGAGTAGGAGGCTGGGAGTGCGGCGAGTAGAACGAGCTTACTTGTATAAACGAACTAACAAGTGTGCTCAAAAGGCTTTCAATAAAATGACAAGGCTCTCGTCCAAGGTCGCAATGACACGAGGATTGGGTGGTGAGAATGAATGCTTTGCCAAATGAAAGAAAACGCAAGGGAGGCAGACGATAGAATGAGTATACAAGTAGACGTAATTCCACAAGTGTACTCGAGGGGAGCGGCGTAGGGGTGGAACAAACAAGTGAATCGTTCACAAGTTAATTCCAAAACGTAGACGTAGACGTAGACGAAGGTGTCTCAGCAGATAAATCGAATATCTATCAACTGAGGCGGCGGCGGAGGCGTAGACGTAGACGTGAGGCGTAGGCGTAGACGTAGGGTGAACAAACAAGTAAAACCGTGTTTACTAGCTTATTCGAGAGCGAAGGAACTTATAAGAATCCGAGTGACACTTATAAATTCAAAAACGTGGTGAATACTGAGATCGCACAGTAAACACAAAAGCGTAGGGGCGTAGGACGTAGATCGATTCGTAGGTGCGTGGTATATTTTCGTTACAGGGGTACTACGAGCTCTATTTATACTGTAGATAAATGATGATGTCATATGTGCGGTTCTGTGTAGGTTATTCTATCTATGATGTCATTGTTCTATCGTATTCCGTTTAATGCCATTGTTCTGTGTGATGACATCATTGCACATAATGCCATTGTTCTGTGTGATGACATCACTGCGCATAATACCATTGTTCTATATGATGACATCACTGCGTCCAGCGGTGATGTCATCGAATTTCGACGGTGATGTCATCAAGAGCGGAGCCTCTAGCGACACTGAGAATGAGCGTGATGGGTCGCTTTCCGGTTTTGTTAATTTTGTCCATTTCTGAGGAGTCGGATTTTTCCATCATCAATTTCATTCTGAGTCCAAACACTTTTGGCTCATGACAACGTATTCTGCCCGAAAGCAGATTGTTCTCCGCCAGCTGCTACAGCTGGAGGAGGAACGTTCGTCCTACTCATATGAGGAGGGGATTGCCGAGCAAAGGAGAAAGAGTCATTGAACGCTCCACTCCTTCCGACTCCTTGCGTGAAAGGGGTGCTAGTTGCTAGGAATCCGCTGGCTGGTCGCTTAGCGGGAGTAGTAGAGGGCAAAGGAGGCTGCGAGGAAGCCAGCGGAGTGGCCGATGCTTCCTGGTACGCATAGGAACTTTCATCTCGCGTGGAGGAGGGACCGGCCTGAAACCGGACTTCATTGACTCCTCCCCCCGATCTGGCCCTTCGTTCGGAGCGTCCCTGGAAATAATTAACTGGGGGTTCCCAGTCTTCGCCCAAGCCATAGCTAGAAGCGCCGACTATCGAGATTTGCCCCGTTAACCTGTTCCAAAACCTAGCGGTGCCTTTCTCTGGCATTCCTGCGAATGCCTCCTCCATGGCCTTGGATTCATCCTCATCGGGTAAGCCTTCCTCAACACCGCAGGATTCGACATGAAACCTGTTAGTCGAGAGTTCGGGGACAGTACATCGAACCCTGCCCACAGAGAGGAAGCAGATGACGCCGGGGAGTTATGGTTGTACCCGCTATCCCGAAGATATAGCTTGTCGATGGTTCGGACTCCGCCTTCCAGTCTCGTCTTGAGGAAATGGTGAGCCCACATCATCTCCCTGATCGTGTCTCTCCCTTTAGTCAACGCGTCTCGAATGACTCCTTTGGGATCTACTTGATATATTTTCCTAGCTCGAGTGAGCTTACACATCTCATCTATTGTGAGCTGCAAGAGCTCCATGACTTCAACTATGGATGAAACGGTCGTCTGTCTGAGTCGGAAGCGTTTGCCATCCGAATCCGTAGAACTGCCCAAGTCGAGGAAATCGAACTTGGAAAGGGATTGAGAGACGAGTTCGCCGCAACGATGCGCTAAGGGGGTTTCGTCTGAAGAATTTTTGAATTCTTCATAAAGATACTCTGTTCGCATAGGCAGACTGTCCAGCTCCTCGTCTGGAAGCTGCGAGATATGCGGGGCGTACGGAGGAATTTGACTGCTACTACCAGCGGCGGCCTGCTGAAGCCCGCCCCCGGTATGCACAGTCGTCGATTGTGGAGAATTGGTTGGTTGGGCGTGCTCGCCCCCCGCAGCCCAATGCGTAGGCGGAGACGAATGCGTCTCCGCCAATGGAGATGAACGGTTCTCCCCTGCCGGAGAGAATGGACTGCCTGTGCGAGACCGAGGGAGGCTTGCAGGGGCGTGTTCCATTTGATCCGAAAGAGTGGGACGAAACCAGTCCGCTATCTGCCCTTCTGCAGGAGGAGTTAGATCCTGCGGAAGAGGGGGATCGTTCTGGTAGCATCACAGTGACTCCTCGATAGTCCTAGAGGACTCCGATGAATTTCTTCTAAGAGCTTCCTCCGAAGATCGCCCTGGGCTAACGAACACCGGTTTCGGTGCGTTCGAAAGAAGAGGCGCCGAACTAGAGGTAGCCATCGTAGGGGCGGAGCGCCGAGTAAAAGAGAAAGACGCAAACGCGCTACCGAAGGAAGCTGGACTCGTAGGGTGTCTACGAATCTTGCTCTTGGCGCGTCCCGGTTGAGTACTGCCAAGCTCCTCTCTCTGAATGTCGCGTTCAGAAGGAAGTTTGCGCAGTGATGAGTGCGCTTTCTTCTCAGGGGAAGAGCGACGAGATCGAGGGGCAAGTGGGGTGTTCGCGCCTCTGGCCGACACAGGGATTCGAGAGTAGCTCAAAGTCGTGTGACGTTGATATTCCACTAATGGGAGCGTACCGCTGTTGGAGGCTGAGGGTTCTTCGTCGTCCAGCCGCTCGCCTCGTTCAGCGGATCCCAAAATTCCGTGTTCTAAACCGGCCAGGTTAACACACATTCCCAATGTGTCCACCTTTGTGACCCCGCCCCGTAGTTAGACAAGGGCGAGCTCGCAAATACTTCTAATTTCTTGTAGAACGTATGAGTTCGCCGTAGTCGACGTAGCCCGGCAGGTCTGGTGATCACGGAGTTCGAAGCGTCCGAGGTCGACTCTCCTGGAACTAGCCAATCCAACTCTGCGCCTAGCGCAGAGAGGATGGGAGGGAGAGGATAGTCTTCAGTGACCGAAGACCTCCGAAGGACGAGAAGTGGAGAGTTGAGAGAGAAGATAAACGAGCACGTGTTCGTGTGCTCGTTGATCGATTACTTATCCGATGCTCGTAAGTCGCGCTATCGCGCGATGTACTCAACCTTTGCCTGGCAAAGGATGGAGTACATAGAGGGATAGTCTCTTACTTCCTCCTCGGGCCTTACTGGCGCGAGAGGAGGGAAGAGTGTTGATGGTAAAAAAGATGATCATAAATCTGTACTATGCGACTTATATACAAGCATCGGCTAATTCAATCTCCGCTAACTCCGTACGCCTGCTCCGTGATCGCCGTCTGATCAGCGCTCTTGAGAACCCTGTGCCGGTGCTGGCTGCCCGGTCACACAACGGCAAAAGCGATAGCTGCAATGAGTCAGCCTTCGTGGTGGACACGCCCTCTGCGGAGGCTGCAGCGTGGCAAGGAGGAGGGACAGGGGATGGATGGAATGGCACGGAGGAGAGTGACAATGTCATGGAAGACACACCGTAGCTTGACCCAGAGTCGCTGACCCAATTCTGCTTTGTTTTGCGTCGGTTGCGAGTAAAGGGCGGGCGAGCGAGTGCCATCCTGGGCTCACTGGAAGAGTAAGAGAATATGCAAAGGACTGGGGTCTTGATGGCCGGTTCATGATCATGAGGGTGACTGTTAGAATTGAAAGATAACTCTCGGTGCCGCAAAGCACAATACAAGATGTGGTCTCAAGCGACCTGCGACTCACGTCGCGGCTTAGGCGCCATGGCGGGGGTCACCGTGGGTGCAAACCCGGGCCACAAAGCCCACTCCGACCAGCCCCCACCATCCAAAGTCCCGCCATTCCCGCCGTCGACTGTGAAGCCAGCATGGGAAATCGGGAGATGATGGTGGTTCCGGATCAAGGAGCCCCCCATCACGGCAGTTTACAGAGCTCATAAATGTGCCTTTCGCACAGGAAGTAAGAGAAACATGACACATTAGGAAAAGATATAAAAGGAGTAAAAGCCCAGTCAGTAAAAGTTATGATTGGAGTGGGATTCGAACCCACGCCCTTGCGGACTAGATGAGCAACACCTGATTCTAGCGCCTTAGACCACTCGGCCATCCAACCTTCAAAATTATCTGCACTGGGCATTTATGAGGGAGGACCTTTTGAACGCTGTCCAAGGATAGTCCGCGTCGATCTCGGGATTCTTGAAATCGCTGCACTGCAGCTGTGGAAGATATTTGAACAGTGTATTATACGAAAAACACCGGCTTCGATGATTGAATGCTGCCGTCGAACTATTCAAGCTTTTCGGTGATTTTACAGTGCCTTTTTCACGGAAAATATATGTATGTGAAAAATGTGAAACATGTTTGTGAATTTCAACAAGAATTCACCATGTTTCCACCAAAAAGTATGGCGGTCAATCGGCACCTTTAATAAAACACACATATTTTGTGTCTTTTCGCATAAAAATAGGCTGTTTGACCTGTTTCGAGATCAGATTCCGAGTCTCGAGAAAGTTTCGAGATTTTGAACTTTCGAGATATTTTTGTTTTCGGAAATCGTACTTTTTTTTTTCAACTTCGTGAAATCGTGTTTTGCTCGGCGTTGCCAAGCCGGACGGCTGTGCAAGCCGAAGTGATGGCCTCGTGCCTTCTGGTGCATCCCTTGCATTTCCTTCACACACTCTGGCCCGTCGCACCTCACCTGATTATGCAAAACTGCCAGAGTTGGTTTGGCTATCTGTTCCTTGTGTGTGCAGCCTGCCAGCAGCTCACCTCCCCATTTGATCTGACCTGGTTGAAGTCTCCTCCAGTCTCCCTCAGGCTCTGCCCCAAGCTGCAGTAGACATGCCCACATTGCCATGCTGTATCACAGTAGCTGCAAAATGGTAGCTGGTGTGGCTCCGGGCAGCCATGGCCATGTACATCAGTACACTTTGTGTCCACCAGTTGCCGGAGCCGCCGACGTGATGGGCCATCACATCGGCACCAGTATTACCACCGAACAAAAGACGATATCACGAAACAGAAAAAAAAACACACGATTTCCGAAAAAAAAAAAAATCACGAAAGTTCGAAGTCGCGAAATTTTCATCGAAACAGTCCAGATTGCCAATTTTTTCACGAAAAAGCGCAAAAATATACGCATTTTATTAAAGGTGCCAAGTGACCGCCATAAAAAAGTCGGTTTTCACTCCAGTTTTGCTGAAAAAGGGTGTAAAATTCAAACCCAATTCCAAAAGTTTTTTCACTGAAAAACTTGAAATGTTCCAGTGCCAGTTCCTCAATATTACACCAAAGAGATCTTGAATTGAACCTGGGCGACGCATCGATGTATCCTGCTCTCTTTGAAGGTACGAGCAAATGTACGAGCCAAAAAATCACTTGTGACTTTCGTAAATGCGTCGGGCCCATCAAGGAGTCTGCGGATTGCCGTTCATCGAATCTAGATTGCTACAGGGAATGAGACAGCTATACTTACAAATCCCTCGCGCCACGACAAACCACCAGTCAGAAAGCAAGCGCCAAGCGGTGCAGTACAGTAAGTACACACACTCCGGAAAAAGGCAAATTTTGGGGTCCCTGAAGATGTATCTTAAATGTTTAGTATCAGTAACAGGATGAGTACCATGAAAACTGTACCTGAAATGCAGAGTTTCTGGCCGCCTGAAGGGTTTTCTGAAATGATTAGTTTTGGAATCGGTATCTGGTGATCCGAAACTTACCGTTTCGGGCGCCGTTTCCGTTCTCCAGAAATTGCTCCTGAAACTTTGAGTTTCAGGAGCAGTTTATTGAGAACAAATGGGAATTGGGAAGTCCAGCGATCGAAAACGGCGGAAGGCACGGCGGAAGGTCCGGCGGAAGGCACGGCATCAATCGGCATTGATGGTGCCCCTGATCGATACGACAACACTGACCTCCTGTCCCCGTTGTGCAGCTCGGCGCTCGCTGGCTCAACAAATGCGGTCTCGTCAGATAGACACACCGGTAAGGGCAATATATAGCGTGCATTTTGTACGGACTCTGCTTCAACTTTGAACTCCGTCAGCGACGTCTGGGAATGGCTGACATTTCGAGGAGGTCGCCCAGTCGCCCAGTCACGCAGTAAATGTGTCTTCGCCATCCAAGGTGCAGGGGCCGGCATTGTATGCCTCCAGTACTATTATTTTTCTTGTCACTCGAAAGCTTGATAGATTTTGATCTTGTTGATGAGCTCTTTCAGGCATTCAGGCTCCAAGCTGGGTTCGATGGATAGCTATTGACATTGAGGCTTTCGGTAGCCAGATAGATGTTTACAATCATAGTGTTTGCTCAGCATAGAGATCATCTAGCGAGTAAACTGAATGTAAAAGGAGGTTTCGAACCTGCTTGATTGCCGGGTTGTGCCGCCGTTCTTGATGCCGGCTCGATCACCATCAATCGCCGGACTTTCCAGATCCCATTCTTTCACAGTTTATTGTCCACTGAGGACAATAGTATCGGTCACAATTTCGGCTGTTACCGAAACTATTGTTTTTCGGACTCCCGAAACCGGCCGGCCCGGCCGGCCCGCCGCCCTGAAAACAATAGTTTCGGCAACATCCGAAACTGTGACTGAAACTATTGTCTTTGGTGGACAATAAACTGCTCCCTGAAACTCAAAGTTTCAGGAGCAGTTTCTGGAGAATGGAAACGGCGCCCGAAACGGTAAGTTTCGGATCACCAGATACTGATTCCAAAACTAACCATTTCAGAAACCTCTTCAGGCGGCCAGAGACTCTGCATTTCAGGTACAGTTTTCATGGTACTCATCCTGTTACTGATACTAAACATTTAAGATACATCTTCAGGGACCCCAAAATTTGCCTTTTTCCAGAGTGACAGGTCAGACTAAGCAAAACTATACTTTTGATTATATATCCCAATCCGACAAGTGATGCCCGTGCGCTACCGCACCGCAACCGCCTCTGCGCCCGCGCCCGCGCCCATGCGCGAGATCGCGGTACCAAGCCCAGAGGTGCGCAGGTGCAGCCCGCGCGTTTTGTCGATGACGGTCTGGTACACCGGGACCGCTGGCCGGAAGATCTCGATCACGTTCTGCAAAGGTCGGTAAGTAAACGAAAAGGAGAAGAGCGCAGTGCGCACTTTGTCCAAGTCAATCTTGGCGTCTGCGCCCATCCGCGACTCCCGAATGAGGTTGACGATCCACTTCTCGCCCTCGTCTGGGGAGAGGTTCAGCCGCTCCGAGAGGTCCCTGCGCAGTGTGAGACTCAAAGTAAGAGGAAGAAAAAAGTGCACGCACCGGATGTCGATCTTCTGGTGCGTGCGGCAGTACGCCTCGCTGATCAGATACCGCGCATTGTCCAAAAAATCCGCGCTGAACTCGGCGAGGAAAAAGTCGTCGCCGAGCACCTGCTCCGCGCGGCCGAGCTCGCGCTGCGCGGCCTCAAAGTCAAACTCGACGTAGAGCTCCTTGAGGAACGCGGTGACGGGGTCCGTGTACTGGTACTCCTCCATCTGCACGACCTTGATGACCTCACGCAGGGCGTTGCGCACGCGCGGAGTCGCGCCGGGCGCGGGGGCGCGGGAGAGAATAGCCGCGGCGGCGAGATAGCGTAGGACCCAGGGGCAGGACGTCTGGATCGTGTTGAGGTACACGGGCGAGAGGAAGGTCTCGAGGAGTAGTGTGCGGCCCGCGGGGTGGTTGAAGTACACGAAGAGCGACCAGTGGAGGAGCCACGTCCGCGAGTGCAGCTGGTGCAGGGCAGGCCCGGGCAGCGAGCGCGAGTCGATGGATTCGCGGAGGGTGTCGAGCTCCTGTAGGGCGGCGTCCCACTTGCCGGAAAGGATGTCGGAGGCGAGCTTGCCCCACTGGGCGGAGGTGTTGAGGTCGTTGTCGGTCGAGAGCACGCGGAAATGGTACAAGTAGTCGGCCGCGCCGCTGTAGTTGCTGCACAAAAAATTTAGATAATCAAACGGCGAACAGAACTAGGACACGCACCCGTATGAGTATTGGAACTGGCCAAAGTGGTACAGGGCGGTGATTTGGTCCAGGGTGAGCTGTTGGGAGAGAGTGAGTCGGGCGCGCAAACGAGAGATGAGCACCGCCGACGTTGTAGTTGTCCTTGAGGTACTGCAGATTGTGCTCCTTGTCCTGGCGCAGGGCCTGAGCGACATCGGGGTTCTCGATGACATCCAGAACCGCCTGCGCCTCGTCCTGGAGGCGCTGATGTGTCAACAACGTGTTCTGGCGCTTTTCCTCAAATTCTGCGGTGCATTAGTGCCACGCGACCTCCAAAGGAAGACAAGACTACCAGTTGGGACCTCCTGGTCTGGATACAGCTGCGAGAAGAGGTTTGCAGCATAGTCGGGCATGTTTGTGCCCTTTGCGAGTTCATACTGTGCAAGCTGGACATCCTGGACGGCGAAGAGGTTTGTCTCGGAGAGATGAACGAGGAGGGGGAAGGAGAGATGGCGGTCGAGGTACGGCAATATTCTTTTTGTAAGGTCGAATTCAGCCATGGCAAAGGGACGTTAATGAGGGCAAGACGGACTCAGAGGACCAAATTTTGGTAGCACAGCCACACGTTTTCTTCTTATGGACGCGCTCATCGCAAAGGCAGACGCCCAAGGCCCGCGCCAGAAGAAGCGCAAGATATTCCACAATAAAACAGACGAGTCCGTCAAGAAACACACTGCTCTCCCAAAGTCTCTCCAGGACAAGGATCTCGTCCTCAAAAATGTCCCCGCACATAACCACATCGCGAACAAAAAATTGCGCACAGAGCTCACTCGCACCGCGACCCAGACCGCGCGCGCAAAGGCTCTACTGGAGGATGCAGAGCTGCTGCTCACCGAAGACGCGGGGCTCATGCAGGCAGAGGGTGCCCTAGAGCGGACATGGCGGGTCTCCCAGTCGGAAATCCTCGACAGCACTGGGCAAGATGCCGCTCGGGGACGGAGGGAATGGAAACTAGACGGCGGGCCTTACCGCTCACGGTACACACGCAACGGAAGGTCGGTGACCTTGGAAGAATATTTATCCAGCTCGCTCACTCGGCACAAGACATCTGGCCATCGTTGGGAGCTTGGGCCATGTATCGACGTTCGACTGGCAGACTGGCACTCTCCATGCTGAAC